GGGAGGGACAGCTGCGAAAGGAGACAGAGAAGACGGGCTACGAAAGGCATGCATATGGGGCCACGACGGGCGACTGCGAGCGGGGGCCACGAAGGGCATATAATGCGGGGCCACAATGGGCAGCGACGGGGCCACTGAGGGCAGCAACGGGGCCACGAAGGGCAGCGAGCGAAGGCGACCGCGGAACCAGCACGGGCAGCGAGGGGCATCGAAGGCGGGAGAAGGGCAGTGAGCGGCGACTGCAGTCCCTAACGGCCTGGTCGGGCGGGCAGGCCCAGACGGGCGGGTCGAGCGGGCGGGTCGTTGAAGCGTAAATTCTGCTTAAACCGACAGGCAATATGTAGCGGGAGCGCGATTCCTGAGTATCGAGGAGCGGCATCTGAATAAATTGTAAGGAAATATCAAGCGGGAGCCGCGATTCGGTGGTAAGTTGCGAGGAAGTCCCAAGCGAGAGCGCGATTATTCCATAAATTGCCAGGAAATATCAAGCGGGAGCCGCGATCTGGTGGTACATCGCAAGGAAGTCCCAAGCGAGAGCGCGATTCTTCAATCAACTGTGCGGAAGTCTCAGGCGGGAGCCGCTGTTGTTGTAAACCGGGGGCCAAAGACACAGTTTGACCCTCAAGACGTTCCCTAATAAAAAACAAGGTGCGAGCCCCGGGAAGGGCACTTCAATCGAAAAAACAATGTACAGCGCACGGGGGCGATCAACAATAATTAGTTTCAGAAATGAGAGTTCAACAACGATCATTACACGACTGTTCGCTCTTCTTCGCCCGTGTGTCATTCAAAACGAGTTCCCCACACCCTCGATACCCGCCCTTTCTGTTTTCGATCACACCCCCTTCGGGGTGATTATTTCATTTTGCTGGAGGCGGCGGGCTTAGAAACGCGGGCAAACCTCAACGGGCGGACAATCCTTCGTGGGCGTACATGCGCCCGCCATTGGAATTGGTGTGGGTCCTGCAAAAAGAGGAGGGGGAGAACGAGAGAGTGGGAGGAAGGGAGGGGGAGGGACGAAGGAAGAGGGAAAACGCCAGGAGAGAAGGAGCGAAGAGGGGGGGAGTAGAAGCAGAGAGAGAGAGAGAGACAGATAAGAGAGGTAGAGAAAGAGAGAGACAGAGGGGAAAGAGAGAGAGAAAGAAAGAAAGAGGGAGGAGGTAGGAGAGGGGAGGGGGAAGGGAGGAGGGAGAGGACAGAGAAGGGATAGGGCAGCGAGGCATAAGGATGAGGGAAGAGAGGAGGGAGAGAGAGGAGGGAGGAGGGAGAGGTAGGAGGAGCAGGAAGGTAAGAGCGTGAAGGTTCCAAGAAGTCCTAAGCGAAAACGCCGTTCCTGAAAGAAGTCTCGGGCGGGAGCCCACGACGGGCGGGCGATCCCCTGACGGGCGGGCCGGGCGGGTGGGACATTCAGGCGGAATGCCTGAGTATGGCGAGAGCGCGATTCCTAAGTAAATTGTGGCGGCGTCCTTGGCGCAGCGTGCTTCCTGAGCGTCGAAAGCGCGATGTTGGAATAAATCGCATGGAAGTCACAAGCGAGAGCGCAATTCCTTTGCGAAGAAGTCCTGGCTCAATTGAAAAGAAATCTAAAACGGGAGCGCCGTTCCTGAGTAAATTGTAAGGATGTCTCAGATGGGAGCGGGGGTCCTGACTAAATTGCGAAGAAGTCACAAGCGGGAGCACCGATCCTGAGTAAATTGTGAGGAAGTCTCAGGCGGGAGCGGGGATCCTGAGTAAATTTGGAGGAAGTCTCAAGCGGGAGCCGTTGTTGTTGCAATCCCGGGGGCCAAGGGCCCAGTTTGAGCAGGAAGACTTTCCCTGTCAAGAAACAGGGTGCGAGCGTCCAGGGGCACACTTTGATTGAGAAAGAACAGTATGCACCGGTGGGGGGACCAACAATACCTATTCTTCAAAAATGAAAACTCAACAACAACAACAACAACAACAACAACAGCAACAACAACAACAACAACAACAACAGCAGCAGCAGCAGCAACAACAACAACAGCAACAAAAGCAACAACAACAACAACAACCACAACAACAACAACAACAACAACAACAATAACAACAATTACTAGCACGTGGGGACACTCCGTTCTCACCAGTGCCAGGGTTTTCATACGACGCCCGCCAATACCCCCACTTTGTGGGGGGGCCGGTTCAAGCTCTACCACATTTCCAAACGACTCTTCGCCACCACCCACACCCAGCTTCCCGCCCTATGACGTTCGGACACTTCACTTCGTGGCCTGCGGACGACCGTGGCTACTACACTGGCGCATGGGTACAGTGACTTGTTGTGGTAACATTTTCTGGACGCTAGCTTAGTATACGACTTTTCCCCCTGTTCCAACACTGGACACCTGTACTGGTTTTTGGTGGTAACGTGTTCCTGACGCTAGAATAGGAAGGGATGATTTGACGCATGGTATTATTTGACAGGGATGATGGCCCTGGCAGGTGCGCAACCGTTGTTGGAGAAGTTCGAAGCACGTGAAAAAGTTGCTCGCAAAAGCCCGTTTGACAGAAATGTTTAAAAAGTGTTGGGTTTCCTACGAATCCGCAAGAGCGCGCGGGATGAAATTTTGACATTTTTTTTTTTGAAAAACCATTGGTTTTTTGATGTTTTTATGTTAAAATCGCTACGAACACTAAGGTTTTGGAAGGATTTCGTCTTGCGCGCGCGAATGTCCACTTTACCTTATTTTTTGCAAGGGATTCTTGAAGTTTGGTTATGTTAGAACAAGAAATGTTCATTTTATATTGTTTTTTGCAAGGGAAAGCGGGGGGGAACAAAACAACCGGATCCGGACCAACCCGTTTTGCCGGAGACTTCCTCACGAAAATAATGAAAACATGGCTGCGGCCTAGGCGCGGCGAGGGGGCCGTGCACCAGGGGTCCCAACAATAATTATTCTTTAGAAGTAATAATGTTCAACAACAACAACAACAACAACAACAACAACAACAACAACAACAACAACAACAGCAACACCAACAACAACAACAACAACAACAACAACAACAACAACAACAACAACAACAACAACAATCTGAACCACAACCATAACCACAACAACCACCAGTTTACCCTCATGCGCGATGTTCCCACACGAAGCATGCGACCATCATCATAACCATCCCCATCATAGGGGATAACTGTTCTATAGCAGGGTCCGTTATTCCCGTTCCCAGATCTCCCGCCCAATGCGGTCTTGCAAACACCTCCTCCGAGGAATTTCAACATATCCCGCCTCGAAAACGCATGCCCGCGCCTTGCTGCGCCGATGCGAGGCCGCCAGTGGAGCCCCAGCCAAGGATAAATCGCAAGGAGGTATCGAGCGACAGGATTGCCTTGGTGGGGATGGGGGCTGTCGGCGGCGAGGCAAGGACCTGGCCCTGAATAGAAAGGGAGGAAGTCTCGAGCAGGGCCGCTGTTGTTGCTGGGAGCGGCGCCAATGGTGAAGAGAGTAGGGCGCTAGTCCAGCGTAAAGCAAAACGAAGTCTCGAGCGGGAACTCTGGTTTTGTTGGGACGGCGGTTGTTGGCGGCGAGGAGGAACACCGCCTTGAGTAAGAAGGGAGGAAGTCTCGAGCGGGAGCCGTGGTTTTGTCGGAACGGGGGCTGTCGGCGGCAAAGAACAGCACCGTCTTAGAGAAAAAAAAAAAAAAAAAAAAAGTCTCGAGCGGGAGCGTTGTTCTTGCTGGGAGCGGCGCCAATTCAAACGATAGTAGGGAACCAGTCCAGCGAAAAACGGGAGGAAGTCTCAGGCGGGAGCGCTTGTTTTGTTGGTTCGGCGGTTTCCATCGGCGAGGGGGAGCACCGCCTTGAGTAGAAAAGGGCGGAAGTCTTGAGCGGGAGCGTTGTTCTTGCTGGGGGCGGCGCCAATGAGAGAAAGAGTAGCGCGCCAGCGGAAGCGTTGTGATTGTTGTTGTTGGGGCCGGTTTGGGCGCCGCCCCAAACCGCTCGAGCGTGAGCCTCCTTTTCAATGAAAATATAGCCGGCGCCGTGGCGAGAGCGCCAAAGCGCCTGGGGGGGGCTAACAATAATAATTGGCTAGTAGCCAACATTCAACATCAGCAACAACAACCGCAACAACAACAACAACAGCAACAACCAGAACAACAACAGCAACAACAACAACAGCAACCAGAACAACAGCAACAACAAGAATATCATAAACACCAACAACAACAACAACAACAACAACAACAACAACAACAACAACAACAACAACAACAACAACGGCAACAATGACAACAACAACAACAATAGCAGCTGCAGCAACAACAACAAGAAGAACAACAACAACAACAATAACAACAATGACAACGACGACGACAACCACAACAACAACAACAACAACCACACCCACGACCACAACCTCAACCACAACCACAACAGCGACAACAATGAAAAAGCAAAATCGTCATCCGCACCATTATCATCATTACCATCATCATCATCATCATCACCACCATCATCATCATCATCAACATCATCATCAACAACAATAACATCACCATCACAATCATCATCAACGTCATCAGCATCGTCGTCGCTGTTATCGTCATCGTCGTTGTTGTCATCGTCATCATCACCACCAGCGACAACAGCACCAACGTCAACAGCGTCATCTCCGCCACCACCATCATCATCATCATCATCAACATCATCATCATGAACATAATCATTATCATCATCACAATCATCATCAACGTCGTCATCATCATCATCATCATCATCATCATCATCATCATCATCATCATCGTCGTCATCGTCGTCGTCGTCGTCGTCATCGTCGTCGTCCTCGTCCTCCTCATCCTCATCCTCCTCCTCCTCCTCCCCTCCCCTTTGAGAGTTATTCGCAGACTGCTGGCAACTCTCGGGAGGACTCTGTGCGACGCGCCGCAAGAGACGAGGCAGCGCCGCGCTCCACGCGCACCTCCCAGGGCGGAGGCGACCCTCGAGGCCCCGCCCCGCTCCCGCCCGAGACCCGACCTCGGGGCCCCCGGGAGCCCGACCGAGCGCCGGGGCTCCGCCAGCAGGCCACCTTCCCTGCGAGCCCAGTGGCGTCGGGGACGGGCTGGCCCAGGCCAGCGCCGGCCCGAGCCGGCCGGGGCCCACGCCGCGACGCAGGGCCGGCCAGGAAGCGGCGCCCGAACCCGAGGCTCGGCGAAGAGGCAAGGGGAGGAGGAGGAGGAGGAGGAGGAGGAGGAGGAGGAGGAGGAGGAGGAGGAGGAGGAGGAGGAGGAGGGGAGGAGGGATGAGGAGGAGGAGGAGGAGGAGGCGGCGGTGGGGCCGGCCCCAGGCGGCTCCCCGAGCCAGGCCCGCCAGGGGAGCCTCCAGAGCCTTGGGCGCGGGACCTCTCCGCCACTCCTTAGCACCGCGCAGCCCCGGGTGCGCCTGCAGGTCCTCGCCGCCAGGGGCCGCGGCGGGCCCATCCCGGGGGCGGCGCCGCGGCGCTGGGCCTGGCGGCCGTCGCTCAGCGGGCGTTGCGTGCCTGCCGGGTCTGGGCGACAGCCTCCGGAGACCCTCGGCTCTCGGTCGGGTTGCCTCGTGCGGCCCCTCCCGAGGGCGGCGCGGGGGCGCCCGAGCTCCCAGCTCCGCTGGATGACTCTGGGCGCACAGCTTCGGGGCGAAGAGCGGAGGTGGCACGTCTGCCCGCACAAGGGGGAAGGAGATGACAGAGCGCCACCTCTGCGCTGTCGCTCGGCGGACGCCCACTGACTCTGGCCGCAGCATGTCAGTACGGACAGGAGCGGCAGCACGACGGCCCGCACACAGGACAGGACAGGACAGGACAGGACATTGAATCGAGCTAGGTTCCACCTCGGGCTGAGACCTTCTATCAGAGCCCCGAGGGGGAAGCTGTAAGAGCACAGAGCTCCGTACGAATCAAAAGCGTGTCTTCTTTCGACCTCATCGTTATCCTCCCTCTCCGCCTACTCCTCGGGCAACGTTCGGCTCCAAGCGCACCTCCCCCATGCCCCTGAGCAGCAACAGTGCCCGCTGCCACTGCCCATCCTTCGCGCACGCGCTGATCGCTGCGCTGTGACTGACGACGTTCGGCTCCAGCTTCGCAGTCTTCGCGTCCCCGAGCAACACGAGCGCATGCTGCCACTGGCTGCCTCGGTCACACGCGCTGATTCCAGCGCCGTAGCTTACGGCGTCCAGCGCAAGGCGCACCTGCATCATTTCCATCAGCAAGGATAATGCGTGCTGCCAATGCTCGCCCCTCCCACACGAGCTGACCCCAGCGTTGTAGCCTACAACGTTTGGCTCCAATCTCCTTTCCTCCATCCCTCTCAGCAATGACAATGCTTGCTGCCATTGGCCGACTTTCTCGCAGGCGCTGATACCAGCGCTGCAGCTGATGACGTCCATCTCCAGCTCCGCACTCCCCATGTCTTCTAGCATAGACAGCGCTCGTTGCCATTGCCCAGAATTCCGGCACGCGCTGATCCCAGCACTGTACGCAATGACATCCATCTCCAGCTCCTCTCCCGCCATTTCCTCTAGCAACGCCAATGCCTCCCGCCACTGCCCGCATCTTGCGCACGCGCTTATTGCAGCGCTGTGGCTGATGGCGTTCGGCTCCACTCTCGCCTCCCCCACCAGGCCGCTGAACAAAAACATGGCCCACTGCCACTGCCCGCCTTTGCCGAGTGCCGCGATTGCTGTGTTGTAGAGAAACGCATCGGCTTGCACACGCAACAGCACCGCATCCCAGAAAAGCCCCAGCGCCGCGCCCCAGGCCTTCTTGCGTCCAGAATCTCTGATGGAGTCTGCGAAGAAAGAGACGCCCAACCGAATGGACCGAGAGCCGTACTGCTGCACCCTGCCCCAGCCCCGCGGCATGCATGGGCCCCTGGAGCCCTGCGGACTCTGGAAGCGAGGCCTCAGGCATGGGTGCTCGGAGGTCACTGGCAACCTTGAAGCCGCTCACCCTGACCGGGGCCCTCGGCCGGCATGGCTGCGGAGAGGAAGAGGGGGTGAAGGCGGCGTGGGAGGATGAAGAGGGAGAGGAGCAGCAGGGCAGAGGAGATGAAGTGGGCGAGGAAAAGGAGAAGGACAGAGAGAGAGAGAGAGACATCCATAAGCTATACGTATACTTCTCCGCCACCGTGCCTCTGGGCACCGAGTGGGCGTGTCCTCGGGCCCTTTGCCTCACCCCTGGAGCCTCAAGTCGGCTACACGCAGGAGTGACCCTGGGTAAGAATGACCTTTGGTGCGCGACTTTTTTGGGGCCGCGGGGGGAACAAACCTGGGCGCGCAAGCAGCTGCTACTGCCTCGTTTTTTGTCATCTGGGGACCCATCTGTGCCCGCACCAAAGGTCACTCCGGCGAAAGGTCACTCTTACGTCTAGTCGACTCGAGCCCTCCGTCCTGGGGAGCCTCAGGAGCCCGGGCTTTCCGGCGCGTCTCCCCGCGCGACCTCCTCGGACCCAGGGGGGCCCCGAGGACGGGCCGAGAGGGCCCCACGAGGCCCCCGAGACGGTCCAAGAGAGGGCCCCGGGTCGCCGCAAGGTCGTTCCAAGACGCCCACGACGGCCTCCAAGGCGCCCCAGGAGGCCTCCACAAGAGGCCTCCCGAGAGGGCCCCAGGAAGGAAAAAAACAATCGATTGTCCTTCGGTTTTTGAAGGATTTGGGTGTTCTTATCTTTTCGGCCCAAAGAGGCCGCCAAGACGACCCCAAAGAGACCCCAAAGAGGGCCCCAAGACGGCCTAAGAGCGCCCCAAGACGGCCGGCCCAGTGGGCCCCCAAGACGGCCCCAGAGGGCCCCAAGAAGGCCCCAACAGGGGCCCAAGAGAGAGAACACGAACCGAAAATCCGAGGCTTCCGCCCCAAGGCCCTAAGAGGCGCCAAGGATGCCCCAAGAGGCCCCCAAGAGGCCCCCAAGAGGCCATCAAGAGACCCAGAAGAGGCCCAAAAGAAACCCCAAGACGGCCCCCAAGAGGCCTCCAAACTGCCTCCCAGAGGCCCCCGAGAGACCTCCCACGAGAACACAACAAACATCCAATAGGCTTCATACCCACAACTCTGGCACAGTGGCGGGATGGACCGAAGACCATTAGATGAATAGATTGGGAAAGAGAGACAGAGAGAGAGAGAGGGGGAGTGAGAACGAAAGCGAGAGAGAGAGAAGGGCCAGGATTGGAGGGCAGGGACAGGGACAGGGAGGAGAAGGGGGAGGGACAGAGGGAGAGGAGTCCTCCAGGGAGAGGGAAAGCGACCACCACCGCCAACTTTCCATAAACCCCATTTGGGATCTGGCCTCCCTCCTTCCACCCTTCTGCTTACGAATCCGCCACTGTGCCCTGAGACACGAGTTGCAGTGTCCTCAGGTCCCTTCGAGTTCTCTGTATTGAGCACTGTAACAATTATTTCAGGGGCCAAGGCCCAAAAAATCCCAAATCTCGTGGGCGGTCATGGGCTCTCTTGGGATGGCTCGCGTGACTGTTCCTGAAGCTAGGGGGCCCCCAGACGGGCAAACAGGGCCCCAAGAGGCCCTCAAGACGGTCCACGATGGCCCCGAGTGGCTCAAAGATCGCACCAAGAGGCCCAAGATGGCCCACAGACGGCCCAAGAGGCCCCCAAGATGCCCCGAGAGGGCTCTAAGAGGCCCCAAGAGGGCTCCGAGATGCCAAAATCATTGATTGTCCATATGTTCTTGAAGGGGGTTTCGGTTCATGTTCTCGCCGTTTCAAACTTTCGGCGATCCAAGACGGCCCAAGAAGCCACCAAGATCGCCCCAAGACGGCCAAGAGGCCCCCCAAGACGGCCCCAAGACGCCCAAGAGGCCCCCAATACGACGCAATAGGGTCCAAAAAGGGGCCCGGGACAGGCCCCAGAGGGGGAGCACGAACCGAGAGTTCGAGCCCTTCGCCCCAAGACCCCCAAGACCGCCAGCAGGCCCCCAAGAGGACCTCCACAAGCTCCATGAGGCCCCCAAGAGGCCCGAAAACTGCCCCTGCAGGCCGAAAAAGGCTAGAACCTGTTCGAACCCAAAACCTCGGACCTCGTCTCCCTTCCTGCCCGCCAGAACCGTCGCTGGGCCAGACCCCCAGCCGGCTCCGACCCCTTCGGGAACGTACTGACCCTGGTCATTCCAAACCCCGCTCAGTCAGACCCTGCAGGATCCTGCAAGATCATGCAGGATCCTGCACCCAAACCTGGGTCGATGCAGCCCTGGCTCTGCAGGATCCTGCAAGATCCGATGCTCTGGCTGACCCCCGCTTGAATCGACCCCCGTCTCTTGAGCCTCGACCCCTACCCTCCTCCCCCCTCCCTAGAGGCCTCCTAGATGGGGTCTGAGTATATGGGGTCGGAGGAACCCGCCGCATCGCCGCTGGCGATGCATCGGCGACGTCGGCGTGGACGAAATCGGACTCCGCATCGAGCCGCATGGCCGATGCATCGGCGAGGCTGCGCGATCCTCCGACCCCATCTACTCCGACACCATCTGGAAGCCTCTATCCTCCTCCTCCGCTCCTCCCCTCCCCTCCTGCCCCCCTCGCTGTCCTGCCCCACTCCGTGCGCGATCCTGCCTCTCCCATCCCCACCGCCCTCGTCGCCCGTGGCCTCCTCGCGCGCCGGTCCTTCGGGATGAAGTCTGGGCTCTCCACGCGCATCCGGATCCAGTCCAGGACCTGGTAGTCGCCTCGACCCCGGGCGCGGGCGGGCCGCCGAGGCGCCAGAGGTGGCGGGTCCGCCACCGCCACCCCCGCGGGGGGGAGGGAGCACCGCTGCACCGATCCCTGTCCCCACTGGCGCGGCGCGGGCTCCACTGGCCGATTCCACCGGAGATCCTGGCGCTGCGCCGGGCGTTGTCACCCTTTCTCGGGCCCGGGGGCCCGTCGAGATCGATCGGGCTCGAAAAAGGGCACAGGAAGGTGGGGTCTAAGGCTCCGGGTGAGATTTTTACAATGTTGTAATTTTTCGCCACATCGGATCTCAGGGTACCACCCCCCGATGGGGACGTGGGCGGTGTCCGTCAGGGTTCGAGGGGCCTCTTCCCCAACCGGGACGGTGGGACGGCGGGGCCAAGATACGCGACGCCTGGTGGGGATGGAGAGAGGTGAACCACTACCGAGGGAGGGAGCGGGAGGGGAAGGGGCGGGGAGAACAGGAGGGGGGGTGTCACTGAGCGAAAGTAAGGGGGGGTGGAGGGGGAGGGGAGGGGAAGGCGGGGGGGGGGAGCAGGAGGAAGGGAAGGGCGGAGGGAGGGGGGAGGGGATCCAGAATGCGCCGCCCGCCTCTGGGCAGGGGGGGGCCAGGCATCGTGTGCAGGCGGCGGTGAGAGACAGCTGTGGTCCCCGAGAGGGGTCCCGAGCTCTCCGAGCAAGGCAAGACAAGGCAGTGGGGGGCAAAGGGGGAGGAGGGAGGATCGGCGGCGCGTTCAAGGTGGGGGAAGGGGGGAAAGGCTTCCTTGAAGGAGGCTGCTTTTTAGAAGGCGACGGCCTTCCACCTACAGACAAGGCCCGCGCCTTCTAAGGAGCAACGGTGCTTCTAAGAAACCTTCTCCCCTCCCCCGAACCCCCTCCGCGCATGGCTGAAAAACAAGGAAGTGGGGAACAGAGGGGGAGGGAGGAGAGAGGAGACCGACCCTTCCCCTTTCTCCGCAATCACGCGGATGTTGGCGTGACATCTGCTACCCGTTCTGGCTCGGCATCACCTGCGGCGCCATCTCGCGCTTCGGCGCGGGGCGTCATGTGCTCATCGGGGGTGCTCGCACAGTCGTTGGCGCCAGCCACGGTGGCAAGCAACAAGGAAGGCGTTGCCTCATCATCGTCTTGCCATCTACAAAGGATAAAGGGAGGGAGGGGAGGGGAGGGGAGGGGAGGGGAGGGGAGGAGGGAGGCACGGAGGGAGTGAGGGGTCACCGAATGAAGTCAACAGCTACCCTCTGAAGGAGCTCGGTAGAGTTCAGCTGCCACGAGAACAGGCGCGAGTATAGTTGAGCGGGCTGCAATCAGCAAGCCCCCCAAGCCGAGTCGCAGGGCAGAAGGGGGACGAGTGAGGGACGAGTGAGGGAGGGGAGGGGAGGATGAGGGGAGGGAGAAAGGAAGGAGAGGGAAGGGGAGAGAAGGGAGGGGAAGGAGACAGAGGAAAAGCAAGCAAACAGTGCACAGGCGTGCGGTCACCAATGTGCATGTACTCGATCCCCACGCTGCCGCAGTAGGTCTGGTTCAGCGTTGCCACGACGTCCTTCAGCGGGGCGTCGCTCGGGAGCCCTCCGAAGGAAACGCCCGCCGGCTTGTCCATGTCGGCCTGCGCTCGGCGCTGGCATCCGAGCGCCAGGTGCTCGGCAGCGCCAGCTCGGCGCCCGCACCCGGCCCGGCCCGCCCGAGGCCCAGGAACTTTTGGATGCCCGAAATGGGTACGGAAAGAATGGGTACAATGCCCAACAACAAATGTTGTCCCAAACCAACAGCGGCCGCTGTTGGGCAGGCGGTCTTCTGTCTCGAATGGGCACAGGCCGCGGCGGCGTGGACAGCGAGTCCTGTTCAAAACGAACAGGATCTGCTCTTGGGCATTGTACCCATTCTTTCCGTGTGCACGCCTCCCTGGCCTGACTGGCGAGGGCGCGCACGCCAGGTGCCCTTGGCCCGGCGCCGGCCTGGCCGGGGCGCGGTGCCGGCGCGCAGAGGCGGCACTCTCCGCGGAGGGGAGCGCGCGGGCAGAGCGAGGCGCAGCCCGCGGGGGTGGCCCTCCTTTCAAGCCCCGAGGGCAGCCAGGAGGGGCTCCGAGGCCGGCTCTGGGTCCCACAGCACCCCGTCGGCACCCCACCGCCCACTCCACACGGCTGCCTCGGGAGCAGGGCGAAGAAGTTCGGGCTACGACGCGCGCCGCTCGGGGCGGCTCTCGGGCCCACACCGCCACCCAGCCTGGAGCCTCACTACGGCTGGTTCGCGTTGTGTGAGCATGGGCGCTGGCTTCTGATGCCGCGTGGGTCGTTCGACTCTGAACGATCATGGCTTTCCGTTGGCGCAGATCACTCGATCCTGCGGTGAAGTGGCTTGAATTATGGGCTTCGCGCTGGGCAGATGGGGCAAGTTGACGCGCTCGCGCGTTCGGCATTTGGCCAACGATGGTTTGATTGCTGGACACCACCATGGCGTTGTTAGCGGCCGTCGAGTTGACCGTGATGACCACGGTCAGTATCATGACGACTAGCCCGTCTTCATGATGAGAGATGACGGCTTTACTCAGGATGATGAAAGGAGCCCCCACCTCCCCCCTGAGCTCATAGCGAAGAGTCACTGCTGCGACGGGAGGGGACTTGATCTCATCCTGGAGTACTTTTAGCTCAATATTCTCGGATTGGGAAAAATCAGATCCCATTCACACCAAGCTGGGGAGGGATCAAGTAACGCCCACCCCGTCAAGTCCCGCCCCGCGGTCGACCAAGCCCCAGCCGAATGACTGACTGACTGACTGCGGCCTTGCATCCCTTGCAGACGCGTAGGCGAAAAAAAAAAAAAAACAAAAAAAAA